TTACTGCAACACGTTAATTAAAAGCAGGTAATATGTACTGAAATAATAGATGTAAATATGATATATGTATTATATATTTTATTTATTATTTTTTATCTCATTATATATATTTTTTTTTATTAAGAATGTGAAGTTTTTAAACTGGGATTGACAATAAGAAATTAATCTTAATAAAAAAAAATAAATTTTTTAAAATAAAAATAAAAATAAATGAAAAACCAATATGTCCTATGAAAGTAGAACGAATGATCTATTCTTTCAGACGTTTTACGTGATCGCATATCTTTACGGATTGTATGTGCTATTCGGACGTTGGACATTGCTCGAGATTGACGACATTCGAGAGACACAAAAGAGACTATACAAGAACGGGAGAAAACGCGACGAGAGAACGATACATTATGTATTATGTCACTCTCATAAAATTGGCACGCCGACACCGCGTTTCCTCCATTTTCTTCTCGCTTGATCGAAGAAGGATGAGCTCAACTACTCGACGAGAGATCACAATGCAGTCCGAGTCGCTTGCCTTTACTTCACACACATTCCCTCTGCGTTGCGCTCCTATCTTATAATGCGATTTATGCCGACGTAAAGGTCAGAATCATGAGCTTGCGATTTTATTGCTTTTATCCGCCTCCTTCGTTCACGCGCGATCGCGACCGAGTGACTTTAGCTGCTCTCCGTAATTACTTCTTTACCGCCATGGAAAACGGATGTGCGCCGCGTGTGTTGTAGCTACTTTTAGAAGACCACGCAAAGTTGCACCGATACGTCTCTGCTCGTATCTCAACAAGGTTACATTTCTACGCGTGCTGCGTATATATACAGGGTTTCCAGCAGACTCGATGAAAAAGATTCCCCGACTTTTTCCAATTTTCCAAGAGCAGAAATTAATTTTTTCTCTGACATTTTAGTATTATTTTTTCTAAATATATATAATTTACACGATATAATAACACGACGATGAAAATATAAATTTATAAACACGCTGTAGATGAATCGATTTTTGACAACACAGAAAATTGGCATGCTGGAAGTCGAGGAAAAGTTTATATTTATTTAATAAAAAATTTCAAATTATTGAGACAATTGAATAATGTGAAAACATCCAGATAAATAGTAAAATTTCCTGACTTTTCCCTGACAATTCCAGATTTATAAAATTCTCTGACCGCTATAGACACTCTGAGTGTCTTTGAATTAAATAAAGCTGCGTTTGAATTTTTATCGCGATTCTATGAAATAAAATTATGTCAAACATATAATTTCCCTGTTTTCGCAAAAAAATCTAGTAAAAGAAAGTATAAACGCCCAAAGCGATATATGCTATATATAAATCAAATGCATAAAAAAACTCGTTAAATATTAAAGATCCTAATTATATGTCTCTTTCTTAATATTAGAAAAACCCAGCAGAGATAAAATCGCTTGTTTGACAAAAATCACGCCACTATAGTTTCGAATCGAGCAGAGACTCTCTCTCTTTCGACTCGACACCTGATACGTCTAATCGAAATTATGAATCGCGTGATTAAAATGCAGAGAATGCCGACTACCTTCGATCGCTCCTACTTGCGATGGGATTTCTTTCACTGCTAATAATCAATTCCAATAAGAATTCAATTCGACCCATCTTCGAACTTCCTGTCAAGATCGATCAGCAGGAAAATAAACTTTATCTCGCTCTTGACCTCGGTCGTCAAAATCCATTATAGACTAAACACAAAATGATAACGTGTCTCGTGTCTATCTCCCTTTCTCTCCACGCGCTAAAGGAGAGCGAGCTCAAGTCGTTCTGAACCGGGTCAGGGTTCTCTTCTAACACGGCTTACTTTTTCTAGAGTTGGACTTGCCCCCAATCTAGTACGCTCCGGAGCTCGTGTCAAAGGTAAGAGGCGAATTTTATGCCGTTCACTTTTGACGATATCAGTCGTCCCGAATGCAGCGAAGAGCGAAAGAAAATCGCGCAGACGATGTTCCGAGCAAAAAGCATGAGCATTCAGGCCTGAACGATGTACAGTTGTTCTCTACTTTCGCCCAAATTGGATGATCATTCGAGATGAATCATGTTATACAGAGCGTCTGGTGAGAGTGTTGGAAAGAAGGTCTCGTTTTGTATGTATATATAGATATAGAAGATAGATATGTACAGATTATGCGACAAATTAAATTAATTTTCGAGCGCGTAAAAAAGTTTTCATATGACATTTTTTTTCACATATATATTTATTATCAAAATCTATATATAATCAAATAAAATATATAATAAAAATAATTAATTTTCGTGAATTTATCTTATTTCTTTAATTTGTTTATTTCATTTTTAAAAGCATGATACACGTCTCGTTATAATCAATATAAAAATATTGAACAAATCGGTTTCATTCTCATTTTTCTCGATTTATCTAGAACGATCAACTTGAAATGGGAGAAATGATAACTTTTCTAATTGATTTGTTGGAAAGTACTCTCCTGCGATTATATCGATTCGCTTAGATTCGCGACGGCAAAACCGGCGGCTATCGTCGCCTTTCTTCATTCGCGCCGGTCGGAAGCGCTCGTTGCTCATCAGCCGCGACCTCAAATGCATCGCCTTCGCTCTGACGGCGACGACCCGCGCATGTGGGTCGCGCTTAGCCCACTTCGCGACAGTCCCGACAACCGCGACATCGCGTCGAAACGGTCCCACGTGGAAAATTCCAGCGAGCAATCGCGCGGCAGACAGCACGGAGCATCTTCGAAGATCACTCGCGGCCGTGCCTCTTATCTCTTATCGACCCCATGATTTCGAATCCTATTACATATAACAAGTTGCATCACCACTGATACCGCGAATTATTCATCAAGTACGCAATGTGTGCGTACATAAGATTCTAGATGCAAATGTCCCACCCGCATTTGATAATATATCATATTAGCTAATTGTTCATAAAAACACAGAGAGAATTTATTCTTTGAATTTATCCTGAAAATCATAGTAATCGTGGGACAATATGGTATTGAAAAAATTTTACAAGTTTTTAATTCTCTGATATTAATATCTTATTAAGATATTAATAAGATATTAATCATGTTAGCTAATTGTTCATAAAAACACAGAGAGAATTTATTCTTTGAATTTATCCTGAAAATCATGGTAATCGTGGGACAATATAGTATTGAAAGAATTTTACAAGTTTCTCTGATTAATATTTATCACAACAAAAAATATTAATATCTTATTAAGATATAAATTATGTTCGATTAATTATTAATTACCAAAATTTTCAGGATAAATTCTAAGAGAAAATTCTCTCCGTGTAATAATTGTTTCATTATAATTATTTTTTAAATAAAATCAAAATACGGATTGTAAAAAGAATAGATGTATTCTACAGCATTAATATGAGCAATAGCAAGATTCTTTAAACTTATTTTAAATTAGATTATCATTTAAAATACTTTGATCCACCATAAATCTAGAATTAATTTGTAAAAAAATAATAAAAAAGGTGAATCTATTTATTATAATTATTTAATATTTAAAATCAAATATATCGCGAACTAATTTAAGTTTTACAGTTTTTATTAAATCGAGGAAGATTTGCAGGAATGTGTCTCGTATCTTACGTGAGAACGCAATATGAAGACCCGCTGTTAAAGGTATATTACTTAAGAATATATTACTTAAGGAGCTTACTCCGACGGAAATATTATAGGCTATGCGGAACTTCCTTATATGAAGAAGAATAACGGCGAAATCGCTTCCGTGCAGTCCGTAAAGGAAATTAAAATCTTTGTCTTGGGAAAAGAAGTTCCGCGATTTGTTAATTGCCAGACGCGCGAAGAAAAGGTAAAGTGCATTAATTAATCCTTCGGTCATTAATTACGTAGTACACGTCATAACCAACATACCTATACTTCATAATATTCAACAGAGAACAATTTCATATACACATTGTCTTGTTTAAAAATTGGCAGCTTCTGGCTATGAAACTTTTTATTTTTTAAATCGATATAAGTCATAATATAAAATCATATTTTCTGTTTATGTGATACCTTTAAAATATGTATTATATTATTTAAAAAAATACTCTAATCAAAATAATAAAAATGCGAAACAAAAATTTTCTGAAAATAAAGAATAGAGAGCTCCTAGCTCAATCTCAATTACATCAAAATTCTATTTATAAATTTGATATTGTAATAATACAGAAAATATTTGAAGATCTCATACACAAATCGTACCAGGAAGTATACACAGACATGGTACGTAAAATTATAAGCAGAATTCTAGTCGTCATAAAGCTTTTACTTATTTTTGTTCTCGGCATCTCAACTGTTATGCGTGACAATGTATGTTTAGTCGCGATAATGATATAAAGAGTCGGCTTGCGGAATCACGAAATGTACCTTGGAGCACGTTTCTTTCGAGATAAGCGATCGCGAACTTCCTCGTGAAGACTGCGCGACGGCAGGTAGAAGTATACCTTACTTGCCATGTATTTACACGATTTTCCAACGAGTTCGAATAGTAAAGCCGCTGTAATTCGAGTATTCTCGGACGAAGGAAGGCAACGAGTTGCCAATTTCTCGAACAACGCGCAAATTAGGAGCGCACAGTCTCCGTCCGCAAGAAAACCGCGCCGAAACGTGACTCGCGCGAGAGAGATTTGCCCGCAATTCGACCCGCGAATCGCGCAATCGAGTTGGTTCGAAACGGCGGAAACTCCGTGACGAGGTATCGCCTTCGCTACGCAATCATCGAAATCGTTGCCAATTTACAATTGCCAATTCGCGGAAGCAAAAATATTTTTAGTGTCTAGTAAATAAACACTTGGTGCGCCTTTTAAGTCACGCGTTCGCTACAATTGCGAGACAAGAAATAAAAGGATTTTATGTTATGGTATAAATTTATACCGCGAACATTTTTTTCACCTATACGCAAAGATCTCTCAAAATAAAGATATCCTTATTCTTTGTTTCTTGTCGAGTGCAAAAATAATTGTTGTACTTACCATTTTCAAAGTCTCCTCGGGCCTCAACAGATAAAACATGGACTGTAGGTGCTGCTGGATATCGCATCCTGCCGCCGAGACTCGCCTTGAAGGACGAGCCCTTTCGTTCGGCGGTAAAACCAAGGCAGCGCCTTTGCCCGCAAAGTAACATTCGCTCAGACTGCAAAAATAAGAAAAATAACGCTTTAATAATCAAATTATTCTGGTTAGTCAACCGCGATCAGAATCGTATGCAATAATTACAACTGATGTAAGACTACATTTATCACGCAATCGAGAAATGATGAAAATATATATATGCAAAAAGATGTTTAAAGAGCTGCAAGAGTTTAATTATAATCGAAATAGATATTGTATGTTCCAAATATAATTCTTCATTTATTCATTTGTGAAATAATTCAGTGGATTTTATAATTCTTCACTTATATATCGATAATTAAATAAAATATTAATAAAAAAATAATATTCAACATTAATATACATATATCAATACCATAGATATCGAGATGTTGAACAGATACAAACGTATATATAACGGTATTAAGAGATTTAAAACATGTTAGTGAATTCATTGTTTAACCGGTTTTTAAAGCATTTATTAAAATAGCTGCAGCGTACCGTGTACTATGAAACTTTTTTCTAACTTACTATATGAATGAATCAGCATAAATCAGATTTATGCACCGACTAAAGAATTTAATTTCATTAAATTTAACGAGATTTATAGTTTTTGGTGAATCATTACGCTTTATCTGATGCAATAAGAGAACGTAATGTGTTTCCTTTATCAAGTTAGTAAGATTAAAGTTCAGTTTAAGAAACAAAAACAGATATGCGTTGATTAGACAAAGAGTAAACGAGAATTTCGATGCAATTTGATAGTTTCAGACAGCTGTCGATTTTAATCTTTGATCAAGATAATTGAAACACTAATCGATTTACTGGTGCTTAGCTCGTTTCATGGCTAGTGCAATCAATAACTCGCGATAGACTATTGAGTTCATTAATTAATGCTGCTACAACAGTACAAAATTATAAACGATAAATGAATCATTCACTCGAACTTAAAATATAAAATGTTGATAATCCAATAACCTTTTATTTTTAATTGCTCGACGATCAGAAACAGTTTGCGCTTTGACATTTGAGTAAAATTAAATCAATGAACGTTTATCGTTTAAGATAAAATATATTTTATATAAAAACATCTTATTTATATGCTGCAATAAAGCCACTTTGACCTTTCTTTGCATCTTTATAGCAGTTATTAACATTGACCCACATCGTTGTAAACGAACCCATCTTAATTACAGTGCGCTTATTTATAATAATACAATTAAATAGAATTATATATGCGAATCCACCGCGGAAAAATGAATTTTTAACGCTATTCACGCTTCACCTACATCGACACGTTCCCATTATATTTTATTCATTATTATCGTCGAGCGATCGCTCTCTCGATGTCTTCGTAAAGTCAAACGAGACTTCTCTTTCTACACACGCACATATATAGTTTCGACGATAACTGCACATCTGAATCGCGTATGCCAGTCGCGATTACGCGATGCCATTTTCTCATGGTAAGTAAACCGTCACATTCTCATATGATAATGACCAGCTGACCAGATACAACACGCGAACACATACATACACACACATGTAATATGCGCGAACTTCCGCTATCGCGCATCTACAATAGAAAATTTCTCCGCTGAGACTTTACCACGGAATAACAAACCTATTTATAGTTCGCTCATACAAACATTTACCATACCGTATATGTGAATAATTCTCGCCATTGTCGCACACGTAACGTGTTACATTAGAATGTTTATTTTGTAACTGATCCTATTTAATTACTGCGGATATTAAATAATTACTAACAAAAAGTATAAAAAATCGTTGATTAAAAATATTTATAATTAAAATTGATTAAATAATCTTCTCATTCAATTATTATATTCACTGATTTCTACTACTATAGTTCTCGATTTTGTACATTAAAACCTTTGAGGAATTTGCTTTGCCGATTTAAGTATTACTTGCTTTAAATTATTTTGTAACTGATTCTATTTAATTATACTGCGAATATTAAATAATTACAAGGTATAAAAAATCGTTGATTACAAATATTTATAATTAAAATTGATTAAGTGATCTCATTTAATTATTGTATCCACTAATTTCTACTACTAATATAGTTCTCGATTTTGTATAATACATTAAAACCTTTCAACAGTTTGCTTTGCCGATTTAAGTATTACTTGATTGAAATTAAATTGAAGTACAAACCAATCCAGGCAATAAAGTTATCATGACTACATCTCACCGATCAGATTAAAATCGTAAACCTACTCATCGATGCTGATCATGATGAAAACGACGATGACGAACGAGTAAATTTGCGTCAGGAAACCAAAGTGAAAATCTATCATCGTCAAATCGACATATTGATCCTCAATGCCTCTTTCTAATTGCGTTATCGAGAGCTACGACGATAACTTTCACACGACTGGATCACCTTAGCGTGACGCGGCTCAATTACATGCACAAGCTTATTAACAAATTGGGCCAAAAGAGAGCCAATCTCACTCGACATTCTCTTAATATTCGCTATAAAGCGATCAAGTTTGGCCTTCTGGTCATTAATCAAACTGATATAAGTCTCGCACATTCTACATACAAATTCAATTATCATGTATGATATACGAGAATTTCGCATAATTAAAAGCGCGCAATCTAGAAGAAAAAACATTTAAAAAATAGTCGCTTATTATTGTCAAATTTAAAAAATTAATTAATTTTTTATTTATATTTTATTTATTATGTGTTTCGGTTATGTAATTTTGTTTTAGGAAATCATACATTTATACGTTTGTCTCATTATATATGTATTATACATATATAAAAAATTTAATATATCAAATACTCTAGTCTCTCTCTCTCTCTGCGCGAACAATAATTCGACCTTCGCGAATCTAATTATAGCCGAGTTGGATTATGCCAGAATTCGAGAATTACTGTTTTCCTGTTCTTTGACATCTTTTAGGAGGAAAAAGTCAATCGCGCGATAAATGTGACCCTCCACTTTTAGCGGTAAAAACAATCGCAATAAAAAGTCGTATAACTTTCTAACGATCTTATAATAATAATTAAACACATAGTACTCATCTGATGCTTTTATAATAGTTATCAATTTTATCGCTTTAAAAATTATCGCGGTCTCACGGCTCCATTCCATTGTCGGTCAATTACTCCGATCGACCTTAATTGCGAAAGGAGAAGCTGCGAGAGCCAAGTTGGCGACACACGATCATCTTGTGCGCACCGCGGTTTGTATACATGTATATGCATAAGTAAGCAGGCGAGCAATTCGCAGAACATTAAATGCAGCGAGCGTAAGAGACGCGCGAAGAGACACGCGTCGTAAATGCAGTTTACAATATATTTTACAACGGCACCCCTGCGGTTTTTTTTTCATTTCTTTTTACAACCGACTCGCTAGCTAGCTAGTAGAGTTTCGCTCGGTCACAGTTGAAGATTTTCAAGGCTGCGAGAATCTCTTCGGCGCTTTAACGATAGACCGCGCCGGCTCGTTCGACCGTCGTGCGATGCATAACTGCATAATTAACGAGAATGATCGGCCGAATAAATTACGGGCGGCCCATTCGAATAACGCCGGCGTGCCCGACCCGAAGTCGGGAAATAACACAGAGAGAAAAAATAGTTGTAGTTATCATAATAGTCGGGAAATAACAAGGGGAAACCAACGTCGGTATCACGAGAATATTTAAATTCGTTGTCGGCACGAAAGGCCTTTCCGTTTACCCTATATGGCACGAAGATATATATTCTTGATACGAGAGATAAGTATAATGAAAATATTTTATAAAATTCAGAGAACATAGATAACGAATGTAAAATCAATGATAAATATACCAGGATACATACACCACGTGAATTTTAAATATTGCAGGATATGCAGAATTGCATTAATATTATATAATATTCCATATATAAATTCATATTTCAAAATCGTATTTTTCTTAATATCGTAAAAATTTTAAATAAAATTACAATACATAAAATTCACAAGGTTTGTTACATCGGCACTCATTGTTTCGACGAGAAAAGATGTTTCTACCTCCGGCGTTAAGGCAGAGATTTTTCGTAAACTAACAATAGGTTGAGAGTATCTCTAGGCTTCGGTCTACAAAGCAGCGCACAGCAGCTGACGCAGCCACGATAAACCGGGATGAGATCTTTTCAGAACGTCCGCAGACGGAGAGGTAGCCGACAGCAGGATTGTGAAAAGAATTAATCGAGATGGGGGGACCCGTCTCTTTCCTCTCCTTACAAAACGATCTTTACCTGTCGACGTAGCCGTCGTTTAAGTAAATGGCTGGTGCCCCTGCGTTGGATGCTGCAGGGGCGTTCCCTTCAGAATTCTCCGTAATGACGCACTCGCGAGATGACAATAACTATACAAATTCAATCGATTGCGACTTCTCATTAAATACGCTTTTAATACTTGCAAAGTCGCAGGAAATGTATTTCAAAAAATAAAACAATTTTTTCTTAAAAATAAAAAAAGATCCTTCTTCCCTCTAAATGGATTCTCTACAACCCAGAGTGTCCAGCAGACTCAATGAAAAAATTCCCTCACTTTTTCAGATTTTCCAAGACCAGAAATTAATTTTTTCCCTGACTTTTTAGTAGGTATTATTTTTCCAAATATATAATTTGCATATATCTATATGATAAATTAATTAAATGTTAAATCATGAAAACAAAAATTTAAATCAATTACACAATCTACATTATGTACGATAATCGAAATAAACATATCACTTAAATTATTTAAATAATCACCTTTTTATTTATATATTATATCAAATTTTTAGTTTTATCTCTATTAAACACACTCAAATAAAATAATACGACGATAAAAATATAAATTAACACGTTGTAGATAAATCGATTTTTAACAACACAAAAAATTAGCGTACTGGGAATCGAGGAAAAGTTTATATTTAATTAAAATGTAGAATAATGTGAAAAATCCAGATAAATAGTAAAAATTTCCTGACTTTTCCCTCACAATTCCAGATGTATAAAATTCCCTGACAATGCAAAACAGATTTCCCTGACCGCTAG